ATTTGGTGGAATAGACTTTGTGCAGTATTGATAAATCTCTTTCTCTGTGCATTGTCCTCTTTCTTCACATCCTCTTTTTGCCTTCCCTCATCATCCAAAAAGGGTGAATGATAGTGCTAACTATTTGTCATTGTGACCTTCTTAGTGTCATTTCACCCTTAAAATCTTGTTTTTTAATTTGCTTTTTTACTTCTTTTTGTGCACCTGATTCTCCGTCCTCTTCATTTTCATCTCCTTCTACTTATCTTTCCTCTTCTTTCTTCTCATCTTCTCCAGATTCTCCATCCTCTTCATTTTCATCCACTTTCTCCTCCTTCTTCTTTACCGTCATGTTCCAACTCTTCCTCCTCTTCCTCTTCACCATCATGCTTTTGAACAACTTCCTCTCTTCTTCTCTTACCTTAGAGCTTGAGGAGTCTTTATGCAATTCCACATGAAAAGGTCATAACATCTCTACATACCTATTTTATATCTTGCACCATTTAAAATATCATACGTTTAAAATTACATAAAACATAACTTTGCTAATTAACAACTATCATTTTGCCCTTACCAGATCATAAAATGAATTTATTTTTGGAAGCTTTACTGAGAAGTTGTCATGTCCTCAAGAAGGGTGATATAAAATGCCATGATCACTTGCCTTCTCAAGTTGAACTCGTGATATCACTCTCTCTTCTATCTAATGTTTTAGAACATCTTCTTGTGATGGCACCTCAATTAGCTCCAATGAAAACATTTGAAAGTAGAAAATCTACATATTTACATATATATCATATAACTCATAGAATTTTGTTCAAAATAATTAACCTACAACAAATTATATCTTAATGCATCCACATATCACAAGAAGAAATAAGCATTTTCCAATAGTTTTTTTATGCCTATCCTTCTTCTCCCATGCTTTATATTCAACTACCTCCTTTCTAAGCTCAAATAGTATAAAGGATGACCAATCATAACATATGGTTCCCAAATTTAATCCGAACATGACTTTCAATAGTTAATCACTTATCTTGAAATTCGAACTTGGACAAAGAAAATTCCCTAAGTAATAGAAAATGAAGAGAAACTCAAATCTATCATTTTCTTTCCTCGAGACTATCCTGTCCTTTGTTACATTATAAAATACTCTTTTAAAGTTCTTGTTTAAGGACTTTAACTTATTCTTATCCCCATTCATTTAACCATCTTCCCATCATTAGGCAAGCCAAGTAAGGCATGAACTGCTTTGCCATTGATGACTTTCCTTTGACCTTTAATGAAAAGGGATGATGTAGGAGGATCAAATGCCTTCATCACTTCGTCGTATAAATCTCTAGGCAACTTGTGACATTTAACATTTAAAAGCTTACCAAAACCTATTCTATTAACCCTATCCCTCAAGGATTTTTTCTTTTTGATAAAATTAAAAACTTCCTTCATCTTTGTCGGAGAACACCTTGTCTCAAATGAAATCTGTCCAAGAAAAATAAGTCAGTACCATTACTTAAATTCATCACATTTTTCATGCTTGAGGTCAAAAGCAACGTACTTCATAAGCTTTTACACTAGCATTTTCCTCCTTAACTAGACGCTTATAGTGATCTTGTTCTTCTGATGACAACTTTTTCTATGCTGCAATTTCTTCTGTGTTGAGTTTCTTCAAATTATTTTCTTGGGTTGTATACTTGCCACGATACGCCTCTCTAAACTTGCTTAAGCCAAAACAGCTTTTTTGCCTTAAAGAATTTTTTTTTGTTTTAGCAATTATCTTGCACACAAACAATGAGCGTAAAAAAAATTATTATTAAATGTATCTAACGTCACTAATGAATACACATAATAACACTATTGAATTTACCAAATATGAAATCTGAATTTTCTCTATAAAACAGGGGAGGGTCAGGGAAAGTCACAGTCATAGCCTCCCTAACCTCTACCTCTAGAAATAGTATAAAGAATTTAAATAAACCATAGCTCAATTGACATCACTAAAACAATATTTATTTCCAATGGGATCCCAAAAGGACTAGTTGAAATATATCAATCTCAGTTATATCATCCATCAATTCAACATCAATAACTGTTGTAAAAATAAATCAATTCAAGTCAGAACAACTCAAGCATCAAAAGAATGTTTAAGCTTGGTAAAATTAAAAATCAATGTTTACATGTGTGAACTATTTAAAATTCGTGGTCTAAAAGACAAAGTGCCATTAGGGGAGTAGAAGAGAGGCAAATGTCATTGTCTTCAGATAAATAGAGCAATAGTATAAAGAGAAAGAGAACTACAGTTAATAATTTTTGAATGGCTTAGTCACGTAATAAAATTTAGACAACTCCAAATTATTCTTTTTCCCTTTTTTTTCCTAAAAATATAGCATGACAAGTGGAGTTAGGTTATGTTGCACAAGAACATAATATCTTGTGCATAAACAGATATCATAAGTAGGTAACTTTCTATCCTAGCTCATCATACTTCATCAACAAAGAGTTGCAACTTCTATTGCATAAACAGAGTATCTAAGCTCAAAACAATGTTAAAAATTTACAGCAAAACAAGAGGAACTAAGTGATGCAATAAGACGGACAGAGAGCACAAATAAGAGGAACCAAGATGCGAGATCGGCCAACAAAAGAGCAACCAAAAGGAACAAGTAAACCAAATGTTAAAAATTTCTAGTTCATTGCCAGTATATGTGCTCGACCAATAAAAGAATAGAGGAAAATACATTGATTTTAAAATATAAAAAGACCATGATGCCTTGACGAACAAAAGGCTTCTCAGTTTTTCTTCTCAAATTCATGGAAAAATCATAGAATAAAACAACAATTAGGTTCGAATATCACAAAATATAAAGAAATCTGGAACCATTTTGGGATCACTAATGAACATTGCTGCAGTTCGAACACTATTGCAAATGGCTTGCTGGAATGACACTAGAAAAAAAATGTAGAATCAACAAAAATTACAAAATCAGTCCCACCCCCACCAAAGAGCAAAGGGAGGGAGGGAGGGAAAGAGAGAGAGGCACCAACCTTGGAAGAAGAGAAGAGAGGGCACCAACTACAGAGCACGCACACCGGACCACCACTGAAAAAAATGGGAGCAACAATAGAGGACCTCTTACCAACGACTGCACACCCCTGGAGCTGATATGGAGAACTCAATGAATGACAAAGAAGACGGCTGAGCCACGTTGAGAAGCAACAATTAAGGAAGACGCTGAAACAGAGCACAAATAGGGCTCTCTCATGTGCGCAAGTGCATTTATTTTGAGCTTAAGGGGCATTTTCAACAATTCTGATTTTTTTTATCCCAATCATGGTCCTTAATTGAGATTTCTAAATTTGATGATCCTAAATTGGAATTAACGTCCTAAGGAGGTCCTTAATTGTCATTTTTTCAAATGGTTAATAGTTAAAATTGTAGTCAACTCGTAATCAAATTGATCAAAATGGTCAAGATTTTAATTTAACTATTTACCAATTCTATCAAGCATATTAACCTAGATTTCTATATTATGCTTATTTGTCTTCATGAAAGATTTTTATATTTTTTTAACACTATCATCCATGATTTTCAAAACATTCGCGTGGGGCAGTTATACTATTCCAAATTCTATTGCCCATGATAACAAGCATGTGGCTAATGTACAAATTAATATATAAAAAATATACTCCATCCATTTAAAAATATAAAACATCTTCAACCGAATCTTACCTCTAATAAAATAGTTACTTATTTTCAAACTAACCATATCTTTTCATGTTTTTTTCTATTAAACACCCTACAATAAATATAAAGTCATTATTAATAAGGGTATTTAAAAAAAAGGCAATGATTACACCTCAAAACACTAAAAATGCCTTACATTTTTTAATATTTAATTCTTCAAAAAATACCTTATATTTTTTAACAAAAGAAGTAAAACTTTCTTTGAGGTTATAGATATTTTTCAACAAACAAAGATTATAGATATTCAAAAATATAAGATATTTTAAATTTTTGAATGGGTAAGTAATGAGTTTAATTTAAAACACCCTTAATCAATAAATAACTTACTTTTTATCTTCAAGTAACACGTCATATTAAATAACGATAAAAATAAAAAAATAATATTAGTTTAAAAACAAACTAACCTATTGTACAGTCCAATTTGATTAAAATGCCTCATGTTTTTTGTTAACAAAAAAAATGAATTAGAAACAATCAAAAGTTGTAAGCATAATGACATTCAAATAATCTCTATTATGACATCATATTAAATAAGAATAAATATAAAAAATAATATTAGTTTTTTTGACTAGCAAAAGAATAATATTAGTTTAAAAAAAATATCTAATTTATTACACAATCTAATTCGATTAAAATGCCTCATAAAAGAATTATCAAACAACTAAAACCATGTAAATATAGGATCATTTATTTAAGATTAAAAATAAGTAATTTTTAAATAATTTAAAAATTTTATAAATAAAAATATATTTTGTAGAGATTTTATACAAAGCAAACATTATTTTATGTTTGGTTACAATAATAAAAATTAATTATTAATTAATTATTTTAAATTTTATGATATTTTTCTTGATTTTTGTTTATAAAAATAATTTATTATGATATTATTTTAAAATTTTATGATATCTTTACATGTTTCACTTTCTTAAAACACTTTCTGTCATTTATTACATTAGATTATTTTCATAAGTTACACAAAGTAGCTTCTTAAAATAATTAAAAATTTATTTTTTTAATTTTAATTATTTTTAAAAGTTTAAATAAATATCATAAAAATTTACAAAATATATATTTTTTAAAAATAATAAGTAATTTTTTATGAAATAAGCTAACACAAACTGGCCCATAATGGCATTCAAATAATCTCTATCATTTCAAGGATGTTAACTATTCCTATTAAATCCGTGACTATAATTATCCTGTGCATCTTACAGGTTTATAAACTAGTTAATCTCTATTTTAAAAAAATAATAATAATAAACTGAAGACTTTGAGACCGTTCGTTGACTTGGTGGTACGGGGTTTCCAGTGAATTTCCGAAGTAGCTTTAGCTGATTAGCTGTATACGAACTCCGATCCCCAATATCTTATCTTGGTCGAACGCTAAGTAGATCATCACTTCCAGGTTGCTCTTGAACAGTTTGAGGATTCAGGATGATGAACCCGAACCAAGCTCAAGTGTTCGTGAATTTCAATTTTTTATTCCTTTTTATTTCCACAAGGATAACTTCTGCTGCTGCTTCTTAATATTTCTTGATTTAAATGCTTGTTCTTTTTAATTCCAGATTTACTGGTGGATTAGAGTCTGCATCTTCTGTTGTCAGCTCTGGAATTCTATCGTCTTTATGGGAACTCATCTCCTCAGAAAGTACCCATTCAAGCGAGGCTCTGTTCTGGAAAGATGTTAGTAAAGAACCAGGCTCGACCATTATATTGTTTGGGACTGCCCAAAACACTGTTGAACCTGAGTTGCTTACTTTATCGAACGACGACGACAATCCCTTCAAATTTATCTGTTCCAAAACCTACCCAACCTTCTCTCTCGATAAGTCTACATTTTCCCTCTTCAATGCTTATCGAAACAAGCTTGATCAACTCAAATCTAAGGTACGTACTTCTTCCTTGTTTCCTTCAATAACTTGTGGATCCAGTTTTTGGATGTTAGTGGCACAAATCCACTTACTCAATGAATAACGGTTGTTAGAGATTTTGTGGAGCATTAAATCTCAAATTTTTGGAAGGGAAGGCATATATAACGAACGAGATTTGGATACAGTGGCTATAAGTATTGATTGATTGTACTGTTTGAGCCGCTGAAATACATATAAGCAATTAAGATAAATTCACTTATTCATTAATTTCAAGTAGAATATACATTTAAAACTATTGATTTGGATTCAACGGTTTAGATCATATAGGCACTTAAAGCTTATACTAAGTACATCCTCTGAATCCAAATCCTATGAAATGTTGTGATCATGATGGTTGTTTTAAATTTGTAAAGAAAAATATATTTTGATAATTTTCATGGATTTAGGTCACTTGCCAACTTTAAATCCATGCTCATCTGTCAAGTGTTATGAGTGTATATATATATTTTTTTAGCTTATTGGCTTAGCAAGTAAGAATGATATTTAAGTTTTGGAGTTTGTTGAATAATGCAGATCAATCTGCAAAATTCAGTGTTTCTGACTGGTTATGCTGTTGGAGGATCAATTGCTTCTCTTTTCACTTTATTGCTACTAGAAAAGATGGATCCGAAACAGAAACATCCACTCTGCATCACCTTTGGTTCTCCACTTATTGGAGACCAAAAATTTCAACAAGCTATATCAAGAAGTTCAAATTGGAACTCTTGCTTTTTGCATGTGGCTTCTCTTCGTGACCCATTTCTATCCTATTCAATTTCCCACAATTCGTACAGCCCCTTTGGAATATTCTTCTTATGTTCTGATTATGGATCTGCTTGTTTTGAAAGCCCTGTTTCTGTTCTGAAGCTTCTAAATCACATGACTCAGCTGAATCAAGAATTTCAGAATCCTGATTATGGAAATATTGTGAAGAATTTGAATCGTAAGGCAATTTGCAAAGACACTGATGATGGTCCCAACATCCCCCATTCTGATATTCTTGAGGAAAGCCTCGCATTGCAGCTATGTGCTCTGGGATTTTCACAATTCCTGCGGGTAAATCAACCCCTATTTTTAATCCTTTTGATAAAAATTAATATTCTAGAAAATCTCTCAGTTTTTGGCTACTTATAATTTTTATTTATTTATAACTCAATTCCTAAATTTTAACTCGGTATAACTTAGTCTTTATAATAATTTTAATTTAGATGCAATTTAATTCATAAACTTTAACTAATAGTAACTTAATTCATATATTTTTTCTAACTTAAAACATTAGTTCTTATATCTCAAAATAACTTGTCTTTATAATTTGCTTTTTTAACACATAAGATCAATATTTTAAATGATTGAATTATAGAGATTGAATTACAATCAAATTAAAATTATAAATATTGGGTTACAAGTTAAAATTTAAGAATTGAATCAAAACCAAGTCAAAGCCACGGGAATAGATTGATCAATTTTCTATTTTCTTTTCCGTTGCTTCTTCATAAAAGCATTCAACCAATGTTTTAAAAACTGAAACAAGCTGAACAAGGATTTGATCTAAACAGGTTTTTGAAATTGATCTGTCATCAGGAAGTTGACCTGAAGAATTTGGTTAAAGAACTGAAATATCAGGAAGTGCAATTGACTTTGAAGAAGACCAAACGGTTTGTCCTATTTAAGAAGTTGGATGATATGAAAGTGTATATGGCCAAGTTGGAATGGTACAAGAAGCATACTAAGAAGGACAAATATGGCTACTACGACAGTTATAAGGAAGAGATTTTCCCTTATGACCTGGACGTTGTCTTGTACAGGAAAAAACTCAACAAGTACTGGGAACAGGTAGTGGAAGAGGTAGAGAAACAGCCCATGAAAGAAGCTGCAGCTTTTCTTCGTACAAGATGGCTTTACAGTGGCAATATTTACAGGAAAATGGTCCAACCATTAGATATAGCTCATTACTACAAGGAGGGAAACAGAGACTACATTAATTGTGGAAGATCTGAGCATTATAAACTGCTAGAGAAGTGGTTTGATTCTGATCGGCTGAAACATGATGAGTCGATGGATAGGAAGAATGTAGAATCTATATTGACCTCTGATTCTTGCTTTTGGGCACGTGTGGAAGAGGCGGTTATTTTAACTCAAAAACTTAAAGCTGGAGATCAATTCACTGAGGCAGAGAAGCAAGAGGCGATGAATAGTTTGGATGAGTTTGAGAAATATGTTTATGGGTTGCTGAAGAATTATGCTGTTTCACCGGAGATTTTCTTGGAGAAAAGTAGCTTCATGTGTTGGTGGCGTGATTATATCAAAATCAAGGGAATTAAGTCACACGACTCTGAACTTTTTAACCTCATGAGTAATCATGACGAGTATGAGAAAGGTGCTTATGATTTCCCCCAAGAGACCAAGCTTTTGAACTGACACACGACTTTGAAATAAATTTGGATCTCAGTTCATGCTGCTTTCAACTTATGTTCTATCGATCTAAGTGGCTTTGGAACTATGCTTCATTGTGTCTGGTTGACATGTACATCAATGTACCTTTCTCTATTTATGTTCAAGTTTAAAATTTATATCAATAATTTGTGTGAAACTGATGAACATTTCTATTATAATTCCATCAGTTTTTTTTTTTTGTAATTTTTTATCTCCTTTTTTTATCATTTTTAATCAATTAACAATCAAAATCAACTTTTATCAATGAAGTTGAAAAAGAACTATTGCACAAAAAATAATTTTAATATTTCAGACATTCTTTCTGCATCGAAGAACTAGATAAATATGAATAACAAGCAACAATCACCTCATTGACTTCGAATATACATGGTTGAGCAATAGCTCCTGGCAAATCACCAAGAAAGTACTTTTATCATGCTAATCCATTCAAACCAGTTTTGCTACAACTGCAAATCTGCAATAAATATAATGAGAAAGTATAATGGTATAGATGCCTAAAATAAGCTTCAAAACGAGAGTACATGTAGACCACGACCACTAAATTTATGCAACTACGTAGCAGGAAAACCAACTTCACAGGACTTGCCTGTTAAATGATTAAGCGGGGAAACGTATATAACTAATCAGCTCAAGAAGCTCCAATTGATGATTTATACATGCACTTCAATGAAACTTCTAAACAGTTCTGTTCCTTATTATCATGTTACACAAAATCTATTCCTTTATTGACTAATGTACTGTCAATCATGGAGCAGGACAACAATCGTGATATTACATTATATATGACTTATATCTAACCAGCTTCAGTTTGGAGTTATAAGTAATTTCATAATTACAGATTAGAAAATAAGTCGAAAGGAAAAAATCTACTACATAGCACCAAAAGAATAAAAGCTTCTCCATAAATTGTATTTGCCCCATTCCACTACAAGGCTCATGTAAAGGCACATGATAAAGTTCAGATATTCTTCACAACAGTTGAAAATCCTTGAAGGTCTTCAAACTTCACATTTGACAGTCCTGAAAACAGGAATAATTAGATCACAAATACTGACTTTGGCCAGCATAAGTTCATTCAAGTTGCAGTGCATCAAATAAACTTTTGGTTACCCTTGGCATAATCTGTTGCAGATAAATTCTCTATGTGGATGGAAATCCCCTTTACATTCATTTGTTCAGTCTGTTCAGCCATTCTAGTCTTCAGTTTTCCTACCTTTGTTCCAAGTTCTGAGGCAGTTGTCACTATCTCTGAATGAAACAACAATCTACTTAAATATCTGTCCAGTAAAATAGCTTATTACCTTTACATATATATCAACTATGACTGAAAAGTAATTGTGCAGACATTATTGAATTTCTTCCTTCTCTTCATATAAAATGTAAATGAAGGAAAACTTTCAGGGTACATTTGGCTAGTCAAGGCAAAAAGATAGTAAGTACATGTAAAACAAGCCAATTCTTATGTAATTTATATCACATTTTTTGTCATCATTATTTAACATTTTCAGTTCATTTTTAATAAATTTTGTTATAAAAAAAATGAGGATTATTTATCATCCCAAACTTGTTCCTTTTCCCTTTCCATTCTAAAATCAAGTGAGCCAAACATGCCCGTGCAATAAAAAACCCATGTGAAAAAAAAATAAGCCATAAGGATTAACGAAACAAAAAAGGTACCATACTGAACACACATTACTTGCCAAAAATATGCCGAGCTTGGTGATGTTACATACCCTAATCAAGCAAGGCATCACAATTACTTGCCGAACTTATTTCAGATGATAGTAACGAATTTGAGTTTTCCACCAGCCATGCAATTGAGTAGTGGGGGAAATATGCCCCTTTAAGGTGATTTAATAGAAATTGACTTTGAAATTAATCTAATTGAAAATGGAATCAACCTACTGCATTCTAAGAACTTAGCATCCGCTTGTCCGTTATCAAACAGAAACCCATAAACAATATGCAAGTGTTCTGATCATCCCCCCGGGGTGTTTTGGGGGGGGGGGTGCTGTAAACAAAAACTTCTGTGCAATCACCTATGTTTTTATTGTCAGACTCTCCAATCAAAACACAAATGTATGGTTCTCCAATAATAACATGAGGTGAGTGATTTTTGCAAACAACTATATGGTCTCCCAATTAAACCATACACCTATCATGCTATTATTCCAGATGAAGAACCACAATTTTTTATTGGGAAGTTTACAAAAAAGATATATGGAACTACACATATGTCTAATTCTTTAGTTGTTGTTGCCTCAAGGGCAAATGGAGCATCATCAAAATTAGTTTTTTTGTGCTATAGGTCCAAACATTCAAAAGGTTAAATCATGAAAGTAAGCATGAGGAAAGAAGGTCTTTACTTACCCTGAAATAGCTCATGCATGGAGTCTTGATCATAAAACTGTAATGTCTCATTGATCAACCCACTCTCAGAAGAATGCCGCATTTGTAACGCTTGAAATTCTTTATTCAACAATTCAGACTCTTTCCCAACCTAGAATAGGTTAGCATTGAGATGAGTCAAATTAAGAAGCCCGGGGGAGGGGGGGGCTGCTCACCAGAACAAATTACATATTACGCAGTTGCAAAATGCATTGTTGTTACCTCAGTTAATTCCTCCCTCAGGGAATTTAATTGCAACTCTATCTCTGGATCAGAAAGAGCTCTACCCATAGAGCCGTCCTCAATTGAATTATCCTGGAAAAGCATCTTTAAAAACTTTGATAGCTAAACAAAGTAACAACAACACCACCAAATGCTAAGGGGGATGTTTGGTGGGAGGAAAGAAAAAGCTTTCTTTTCTAACGCACATAGACATAATGTCTATTATACTCTTTTTATCATTACTTAAGAGAAACTTCTATTTTATTATAGTTTTTAATTCAATAGCACAAAGAATTTTTTATTTTCATGCTAAAAAATAAAGTTTGCAATGATATTTCTTTTTCATCCTATTCCATTTTGCGTATAAAACAATCTTTAAATTTCTTCTGCTATGATACATGTTAAATTCTAGTCATCATTTTTGCCACACATAAACGTTTATTGGTTATTCATTCATGTCATCTGCAATTGTAAGAATTAATATATGCACACTACATAAAACATATGATCAGTCATTTGATCATGTGTTATCAGAGTAGGTGCCCAACACGGTAAACGCTATTATATAATTCAAGGCAGATACTTGAAAGTCCATGTATTAGTCTTGGCATATGGTGATGATCCTCTATAAGAATGACTTGACATTAAAATCCATGAAACAAAGTAAAAATGCCCTTTGCATCTTTAAAATCCATATAGCAACCAGTAGCCCGTCATGGCAGATTAATGTTCTATATATATATTTTTTAATACAATCACCCATTATTCATGGGCCGAGCTAGGTACAAACATATTGGCTACAAAGCTCTCACAATGAGTATTTATTTATGCTATTCTTTTGCAATATCTTAAATTAGCAAAACTATAAACATAAATTCCAATGGTGCTACTCTTCTTTACCCCAAAAGAACACTGCATCATGATCTGGCTTTAGATGCAGTATCAATATAATAAAACAACAGCAAGTACGGGCAAGTCATAACCGCAGCAAATAACGCTACAGAAATAGCGACAGAATCATGTTAGGTAAACTAGGCAAGCCAAAGTTGCAGCAAAAAACAAAATTGCTTCTGCCATCATTACAAAGAACCTACGCTCTTTGGCATAACAAAACTTTGGGGAACAGAAAAACAGTGGCGAAGGCAGTATTTCTCCCAAATAGCCAGCCTCTTGTCCAAAACTGCCTGAATCACGTTGCGAATGCAATCAACACCCTGAAAAAAAAAAACAAAAAGAAAAACAGAGACACAATAATATTAAACAGAACAAGTACCACACATATTGGTTCCAAGTAAATATTTCTGCGAACTCATACTTGTGTTCTAGCACCATCCTTGCTCAATTAAGAAAGCAAACATTCATTATAGAAAGAAGATAGAACGAAATCCATACACAAGATTAATGATTCCTGGTGCTAGATAGGACTAACCTTTCTCAGATTTTGGGATCTTTCCGTCCCTTCAGAATTAAGCTTCACCAATGCTTCCCTGAAGGACATGAGGAGAAAGACAGAATTTCTACAACCACATTCCGAACAAAAGCTCATAGAAGCATTGATAAGAGACTTACTGGTAGAAGAAATCGAAAGCATCATCTACAACATCGTCGACCATGTTGAGAACTTCGTTGACGAAGAGTCGTGGATTTAGATTAAGGAAATCGAAAATGGCCTCACTTTCACTGCCTTCCATTCTCCACGGATTTAGGTTAAGTCCAGGATAATAGAGTTGTGGATTGAGAACGCCGAACGCCGAGAACGCGTGCGAGGCGGAGAACAAGAAGTGAAGCCGTGAAGATCTGAGGGCTGGCTGGTCTGACTCGTCTAAGGGCGAGAGCGAGAAGGCAAGGGAGAAGTGAAGTGAAAGTCTCTGAACTCTGAAGTGAAGAAGACTGAACGCGTGCGTACAGCTAGGGCATCCGATTTTTACAAACCATGTCAGAGAGCAAAAGTGGAGGTTTTCCCCCCCAATTCCGCTTCTAAATCGGCCTTTCCAATTTTTTAAAATGAAATGGACAATGTTTTTTTTTTTTTTTTTGGATAAAAGAATGGACAATGGGTTGTGAAAAGTATGGTTGTGCAAAAAATTTTCAGTGCCAGTTTAACTTAAGATAGTCTTAATTTTATTTGGTCTGTATAGACATCAGTCATTCAGGACTAAAAAAATTACAAAGATCAGACTATTTTTTCAGGTTAGATTGGATAACAGACTAAGCATCCGGATCATTTGGTTCAGTCCAGTCCTATTAATTTTTTTATTATAACTATAATTAATTTATTTTTGACAAATGCTTCAAATGTAATTAATGTTAAGGAGATGAGTGTATGAAGATTTGTTGAGCTTATTTCTAAATTGTTGTTGTAATGTAGTGTTGTTGAATTTTGTTGAGTGTTGTTTTTGTTAAAGTTACAAATTTAAATCATTTGGACTATAATAGAAATATTTTTCCTTATTATTGAAAATTATTATGGATTTATTATTATTAATATTATTATCATCATATTATCATCTTAATTGAGTTTATTAGGTTGAAATGGATTATTGTCTTTCATAGAAGAAAAAAGGAAGTAAAAAAAAACTAAGTGAGTACTAGATTGACAGGACCAATCTCCCATTCCTATGGGTCAATCTAATCTTGTTAGTCTTCAGATTATCACGGATAAGACCAAACTATGGATTGCTTAATTCAGTCTTTTTCATAAAAGAGACCAAACTTTAAATTAGGGTGAAGTCTAACGTCATCCTGTCTTTTTGTGCAGTCCTAGTGAAAAGAAAATGGAAACGGATCCTGTGAAATGGGCGGGTTCTGAGCCTTATGAGCCCTCAAACATTGTACAGGGAAAGAAAAAAAAACGCCCAAACATTCGGCTTTGTTCAAACGAAAAAAATTGAGAATGCAAGGAGGAATTAAAAAAGGAATGCAAGTGGCAGACGCGTGGAAAACAATATTTTAAAAACTGGATAAGATAACGAATTAAAAAAGTCATTGGGTCAAAGTTCTTGTGATTTAACTAGTTAAGCTGATAATCAAAATGTTAATATAATAATTAAATAAAATTAATATTTATATGCACATGCGAACACATAAAACAATAAAAATACTAACAATATCATTCTTGATTTAGAGTTGTTCAATTATAACAAATTAATTTTTAATTTTCTCTTTTTTTCATGTATATATTTTTTATTTACCTTATTTATTCTTTTTTTTATAAGATCTTATTTGTCATTTTAAAGCAAATGATTTTTCAATTTTTTTTACAATTTTATTCATATAATGCCCATAAACAAATAATACACTCAAAATTTTACTATAATAATCCAAAATTAAGTTGATATTAATATTTTAATTAACATTTTTTTACTAAAACAAGAGTAAAAAAAGGCCTAACTGTTCTGAATTCCACATTAATTTTGACTTTGTTCAAACCATTTGGCTCAAAATTTTACTATAAGAGGTTTTCTTTTTTTTTTTGTTCAACATGCTAATTTTTTTTTTAAATTCAAAATTTTCTCCCTTCTTATTTATTAAATATTATAAATTTTTTAATAATATATATATGCTTAAATAGGTTAGCCCTTTATTTTAGAGGGCCAACTCATTTATTTTTTAGCCCATTAAGGCTTGTCCATTTAAGCCTATTTAACCATTAGTACATCAAAACCTCAAATCCTGGCCTTCATTTAAATAGGCTAAAATAGATTAGGCCTATTTTTATGACTGTTCATAAGAATTTTTAAGGAGAGTTTTCTAGACTTTTTGAGATCAAGTAGGCCCAATTAAAGGATTTATACTAAAGAGAGGATATGGAGAAAGGCAAAAAAATAGATTTCCGAATAGACTCTAAGGTCAATAAGGTATAATGACCAAGTCTGCGTTCAAAAAGGCAAGGATTTGAAGCCCATCATAGCAACTACATTATACACCTTAGAACCACCAAGATGTATCATGACCTCAAGCAAGATTGGTGGTGGTCAAGTGTGATGTGAGATATGATCAAGTTAGAATCACAGTACATCACTTGCCACAACCAAAATAGAGCAGTAATGACCACTCAAGTCATTGCAATCATTGAAAGTTCCATAATGGAAGTGGGATAGCATTACCATTGATTTTGTGATGGGTTTGCTGAGGGACATAAATGGAAAATGATTGTTAGATAACCTTCTATAATGGAATTGTTGAAAGTTCAATCTCTACTTAAGATGAGAAGAATACCATTTAGGTTAGGTAACCTTTTTGGAGGTACTTCCCAGCTTTTTCAACTATCACAATCTTGGATCTCCCAAATGTAGGAAATTATGCCTTAGGGCCAATCATTGTACTATACACATTGTTATTTAATGAATTTCTCTTTTGTTATCATAACAATTGCATGTTTAATATGATAACTATATCCCTAGATAAACTATAGTGATTGTCCTAAATGTCCCTAATCGGTTATCTTTGAGGGATCATAAATGAAATAAGATTGGTATGACTTTGATTAATTATAGAGATATAAATTAAAGTCATAGGCACTTGAAAGAGTATAAAGTATTGGACCGACCCACTATAAGAAAGCTGCATGGTACAAGTCATAAGCTTATCTCATATGTAACTATATCACAAAGCTCTTTGACCTGAGATCATCATGGATTCCTGCATGATGACCACTAAACTTTGACCTAGTCAAAAGTCACCTTTGACCGAGTGATCATAAAGGCTATGATTGAGTTTAGTGATATTCATGCAGAGGAATATGAGTGGTCAAGATGGAATTTGTAGTTCACATTAAGTGAAAGATATTACTGGGCCCCTCGACGAGTAAGACTAAAAAAATGTATGGTCATACTGCAATGAAAATGGTTTTTTTCATTACTATTATTAGTCTACTCAAAGATCGAGAAAGTAATGGTCAGGTAAAGGAGAATGACAATTCAATATCTCATATTTGACTGAAATATCGCGTGACAAAAGTGATGTGATATGGTTACATGATAGCTTACATTGGATCATCGATCCCCATATGAATTGGATAGTTGCAATGTCTTGTTAGAGGTTACTTGTAACTTGTGAGGTAACAGTGTAATTAGCCCACTGTCAATTTCATATGGGCCTATAAGGTCGCACAGAAGAACGGCCTAACTCGAGTCATAATGTCCAAGTTCGTTGAATCTAGAATATGTCTAGATTCAATGAATGTAATATAAGATGAATGAATTATATATATATTTGAATATTTATTTGATAAATATTTATATTTATATTTATATGAAATATAAAATTTAAAAAATAATTATATATATATGTATATATATATATATTTTTGAAATATATATATATATGATATATGTAGATGATACATAAAATTAAATATAGATAATATATATATATATATATATATTTGAAATATATATGTATATATATACGTATATATATAATATAATATATATATCTGATATATATTATATTATATTATGTTAGTTTTAAATTTAATTTTATATGATAGATTAAATTTAATAACTAACATGATAAGAGAGAATATCATGTCAATTTTATAATTTAAATTTATAAGATAAATTCAAATTGGATATGATATTATGGATTAAATTTATGAGATAAATTTAATTAAATTTTCGTGAGCTTTTAAGTGAAAGATAAAAACCCTTATCTATATACTATATAGAGATAGGAACGTCCTTATGAACGCAGAGATAGAGAGTTAGAAAAGTTTTGACAACAAAAACACTCTGAAAGCCATGAAACACCCTATAGAAAGAAAAATTAATGTTCAAAGAAGAATGGACGCTGAGAGCGCCAGCACGCTATTTGAGTTAGAGAGCTGTTCATGTGGATACTAGTAGAGGGAGCAGATCTATGTTGTTAGCTCCTAAGATCCAAACGTGTGCCAACTTCAAAGAATTGAAAAGGTAACTCTTCTATCTACCTTAACTTAAACGAGTTCACTCGGTTCATATCAGGATAGGGACTTTAAAATTTTAATCTTTCGCTCTACCTCCCTATCCAACACCAAACTCTTCAATCATAATTTGACATCTTAATTTTTAAGTTACAAATCAATTAAGGAAATATATGTATTCAAGAATCTAATTGTGGAATTAAGTTAGAAATATTATGGAATTGAGGTTTTTAATTGAGGAATAAATTGTGATTAAGGATTATTGAGGTTAATTAAATATTTAGGCACTTAATTATAATTAAAATTGAGCCTATGATCATGTATTAAGGTTAATCGGGGTCCAAAATAGGTATTATACCAGATTGGCCCAAATCATTAGGCTTGAGTTAGTAAACTCAATCAGTACTCACTATAAAAAAAAGGTATTTAGTAGTTGTTGAAACAGCTACTAATGATACTTGTAGCAATTTGCAAATTGCTGAGCATTGCAACATATTACAAGGTTCTAGAAATTACAACCATTATAGTCAAAATGCTACAATTCTTGTAACGGTTTAAGGAACTGCCACTTGTAATGTCTACCTTGACATTACCAACATTCACCACACAATCACAATAAATAATAGCAATTCGGGGCTTTAGATCGCTCTTAAGCTCATTGCAAATATAAAAAGGTTAAAGCTAATAAAAATTTAAAAATGATTTGAAATTCTTGGGATCTTATAAAAACCCTGCAAATAGATAGTTTGAGCTCAAATTTAATTATTTATAAAGATATGGGAAGCATGAAAAAGTTTAAGAAGCAAAACACTTGAAAACAAGGCTAAAAATGTCATTCTTGTGCATTCTAGTACATAAGCTGTAGTTTATGGTCCATGCACCACGGCATGTGGCATAGAAAGGCAAATTCAGCCTCTATATCATATGCTGCAGCTTGTGTGCAACATGCTACAGCGCATATGTCCCTGTCATAACAGCAAAATATTGTCATGACAACTTTCCAAGGTGAGCTTTGAATGCGCACCATTTTCACATCCGATATATGATTGGAGTGATTTAAGCACCC